TTATTAAAAATATTGTGAGTAAAACATTTAAAAAATCTTTGAAACTATAAATTAATATAAAAGTTAAAAGATAACATTGTTAAAAAATTATGAAAAACAACATTATAATTAAGAATGTTATTAAAATAGGAGTGAAACTTAAATAATTAACGAACTCTCTAGATCAAGGTATGGTCTTGAAGGAAAAAGCAAATTCAGTCGTTACGGCCAAGCTTTCGACCAATTTTATGGTCATCATCAGAACCTATAATAATTTCACATTATGAAAAACATATTTGTACAATTGAGCTAACAATTGTTTTTCATAATGTGAAAATGTGGCTCCGGTAAAGCATAAAAATAAAAAAAATAACTCGATATTGGCCACTTTTTCTGATAAATACTCACTTTAAAGTTCGAAACAGAACAAAGATGCACCTTGTTGTTCTTTGCACTTGTTATGAATGGTGATAGGACGTTTCCGCCAATTCAAAAGTGATACAAGTGCTGCCTAGCAGTTAAGAGTCCACCTCCTCATTTTTCCTGTTTCATCACACACCCGAATACTTCAAATAAACTAAATAATCCGGTTTTTCTTGTGGATGTACGATATAACAAAGTAAGATTAGCGGACCAGGTTGATAGCTACTGCCACCTTTCTTCAAGACTCAACAAGAAATCTCAAATTTTAACAATTATAATAATTAAGAAAAATGATCGGGCATGATTCATTTTTCTATCTGTAGGCCTTTCTTATGGAAAGACGGTACTTTCTCCTCACGCTTTGTCTGCATTCTAAAATACAGTCATTTCCTAGGCCGGATCAATTAGTTTAATTTTAAACTTACGTGACTCTCAGCACTATCATTGACTAGAATAGATCAGTTTATTCCGATTGAGATATTTTGAAATTTCACCTGCTACACTATTTGACTTTTACCAGTAAACTTTAAGTGATTATTTACGACTTGTTGAAAAAAGATGTTTGGTCTATTTTAACACACTAGGCGAGAGGTTTTCTTTATGTATTTGTATACGCCCTTCTGTATATCTATCCTAAAAATTGTTTATCTTTTTAACAGTTATGGTCAGACAAAAATTCAACTGTTTAACGACTGTTTTGAATTCCTTATTTGAAGCTACTTCATAAAGTTACGAACCTGTCAGGACTTTACACCATACAAATAACTGATAATATTAAAATTCAATTTGTATATAAAATCTTAATCAAAATACAAAGTACAACGGAAATGCAGTTAGTAATTATATAAGGTTTTAACATACTTCTTGAATAAAAATGTTTTGTACAATTTTAATTACTGTGTTAACGAAAAAGTCTAAGAACCTATAACATGCACTCATGACCTTTACCAAGTATCTATTTTAATGCGACACCGAATTGACTTACAAATTGTTTTAGACAAAATATTTTAAATGGTAACCATACTTAGTTTTTTCCAAAAGCTAAAATAAGTGGGCTAAGCATTTTTTTTAATGTCACAGTAATAGGTAATTGATTATAAACTTTGTGTTTCAAATGAGACATAGGAAAATGTGATACATGAAAAATTAAATTTATTTATAAAAAATGACAATAAGAACAGTTAGATTGGTTGTATTTCATACTTTCCTTGTTATTATAATTTTCAGGCGAAAAAGGTTATGCTTGTGATAAAGAATGAAAAAATTTTGTATTTTTCATTTGATACAAGGTTTTAGAAAAACCCAGGTTTTGTTGGAAATCAATATTACTTTTTCAATCATTTTGATGCTTTACACGATTATTGACTCGATATTGGTGGGCATTAAGACAGTTCATCAAAATTCATATTTTCGTTCAAAATACTTTTTCAGTAAAACCTTTTTCGATTTTCGATTTCTTCTTCAATTTATTTCGATATTTGTTGAGAGCAGACGTTAGAGATTAGTAACTTTTTAAGCTCGAAATTAAGGGAGTGGCTTTAGTGCGGTACGCAGATGGATTCAAAATCGGACATGGGGTTTGCGCATGGTTAAAGGCCAAATTTTGCCCAGGTGAACCGTCTTGGCACGACACCATCTATCTTCCAGGTGAAATTCATACAAAAGAAACGCGCGCAAAACGTACGGAAAAATGCTAGAACGTTGATAAAAGCTAGAAAATTGGTTTGAGAAAAACTAAAGGTATCAGATTTGACGCAAGCTAATAGATTTATAAATCTACCAGAATGGAAAGCGAAAAATTCCTCTATCTCATAGGCAAGAATTGAGAAAAATAATATACCTATACACTAGCTAAAGCTTAATTAAAATTGACATAAACTTTATTAAGGCCTTTTCAGTTTATTTAGTTCAGAACTAACTTTCCTAAAGTTACATATTTTTATAACGTGGGATTAATGATAAATTATATCATTTTTAAAGTGATGAAAATAATTATTAGAGAGAAATGTCTGTGCTTAAAATGGGTCGTAAAACTTTACAACACGTTAATTATAACAGGTTGATCGTTCTTGCTGAGGCGGCCTCATAATTAAAATCCCAACGGTAAACTTATTTTGTTTTTTCAAGGAGGCTCTATCTTCGATGTAAATTATGCGGGTAATGTGAATGGCTCGATATTAACGTCAGTGGTAAATGACACCGAAGAGCCAAATAAAAAGGAGGAAAAACAAGGCGAACAACCTCTGAATCGGCAATTAGATTTTTGCACACAATACACCTCCGCGTCGGCCTGTTGGATATGTCAGGAGACAATGTCCCTCTGAGCTGAAAATAATAATTAAATGCGGATTGAAATACGTTGACGCCCAACTATGACTTATTTTTAAAGGATGAGAACGATTTATCGAAAATCGTTGGCAGAATGCGTGACACTTGATGCAAGTCAGAAGAAAATCTTCTTAAGAGCATCCCTGGCTTTGCACGAGAGTATATTCGGCCCTCTGGGTATCTCAACGTCAAACACGCAAACTTCGCCAAAGGGCCATTTTTCTTATTGCCTAGATAATTATGATCTGATCATTTTAAACTTTAGTTATTGAAGAGAAGGTATCGACCGCTTGAAGTTTAATTTGATGTACGGATCCGTGTTATGGTCAAACGGGACCCTCGACAATAATACTGATCATACACCAAATTTTAAGCTTTGAAAGTATTCCATCTAATAGGAATTTCATAACACCTCGTTCGTTACGATTGAGTAAAACCACAATTTATAATAATTTTAATGCATTGTTAAAAATAAAACATAACTGAAATAAAACTGTTGCCTTAAAGATCAAACCACAAAACAAAAATGAAATTATCAATATTTAATCAAATTTAATTTTTTTTAAAAATTTCTCTATAACACGAAAACTTGTTAAGAAATTTTTTTTCAATTTTTCATTATCGTTATTTGTACTTATGCGATTAAATTATTTACCCTTTTTTACCGAATATGCGATGTTATTGTGTTGTGCTTCACGTCTGTATTTTCTAAATTTTGTCAACTCGCCCTGGTCAACAGATCAACAGTTGCATGTGTTTTATTTTATTTCATATTCTGATTGAAATATTGTTAGAATCGATAAGAGTTTCTTTTACATACCATCCTTTTCAACTATTCAACTATTTACCAAACTAACGTAACCTTACCCAATTGCAACCCTAACCCTAACTTACCTAATTTTCGCTTACGTTAACCGTAAGTAATAATAATAATAATATTTTCCCATGGACACAAGACCGTCAGGGGAGGACGCACATGTATATATAAATAGTATAATAAATGTTTTAACAAAGCAATAGAATGTAGTATTAATTAACAACTTATCTTAACACTAGTTTAATGATATAATTCATGCAAAAAAATAAATAAAATGAATAAAAATAAAATAAATAAATTTAAACAATAGTAACATATAACAGTTATACATAATATAATAAAATAAATACATAAATAATAAATATATGTCATTTTACATGCTATTAAAATTGCTCTAATAAATTGTTCTTTAATATTAAGCTAAACAGGTGTGATGAAGATTTAATCATAATTAAATTCTTGTATTAACCTCTCTCTATATTTCCATGCCATTCTGCAATACTTGATTAGTTTGGTCCAGTCTTTTTCTTCTCGTAAGTATACAAGCAACTCTTCTTTAGTTAGAAAGCACTTTCCAAATATCAGCATTCTAAATTCAGAGAGAATTGGGCAGTGGGCAATGAAATGTGTAATGCTTTCCTCTTCGTTTTTATTGCATAAAGAATATAGCTTATTGATCTGGCCGAATTTGTACATATTTAGATTTAATAATTCACATCTTATTTTCATAAACTAGCTTATTTCAAGGTTGTTGTTTGTGCGCAGGTAAACATTACAATTTAGGATGGTTTTAAATTGGGGGTGATATAAGAAATTACATGCTTTCTCTACGTACGAGTTTTTTTATATTGGTTTCAACCTTTTTCATTATATTGATGTTTTGTTTGTTTGTTGTTTAATAAAAATTGTTTGTTTTGAGTTGAGTAATGCTTGGATAGAAATACCATGTGCCTTTTCAATCTCGCTATATTCTCTAAAGCAGAGTAGATTTTTTCCCGTAATAATGTTGTTAGGTAGTGTGGGTATCTGTCGGGGGTCAACTTGAGGCACCTAATTATATAACTGAGGTGTAGTTTTAGTGTATATAGGAAAATAGGTGTAGTTTCTAATTCTAGGTAGAGCATATAGTTAGGCGTGTATGAGGGTAGGTTTAGAATTCTTTTGAGGTAAGATCTTTGCACTTTTTCTATATCTTGGTACTTAATCCCCATACCTGGGCCCCATAACACAAGATGGACCTGCATATAGCATTAAATACAATCATTTTAGATGCAATAGGGATTTTATTGTTTAGGACTGAATGAGTTTATTACAAATTTTGATTTTGCCTTTTTGTCTTCAAAATGTTTCCTTCGAGAAGAGCCAGATGTCAGAATCACCCCCAGGTATTTGTAGGAATTCACTACCTCAATTTTGTTTGCACCGTATTTCACCAATTTCTCGTTTTTCCCTGATTTGCCACCATTCCTGTCAGCTGAAGCCCCCTCTTCGAGTCAAGTCAATTCAGTGTCCAGTGCTGTGCTCATTCATGGGGGTCACGTCGGCTTTCGACATCAAGCCACCCTCGTCTAAGATGGAGATGTTCAAGAAAGTCAAGAAACGCCTTGGCCTAGGCAAGGGTGAAAGCAGTGCCAATAATGCGACAAACAATTTACCTCCTCTGCTATTCCACCGTATCCACGAGGATAACGTCCGCATCAGCAGAGACGGAAACGTTGCGAGGAAAACGGAAAGCTTCTGCAAAGGAGTTAGCTTTTCAGCCCGTCCAGTGAAAATCGCAGAAAAGATCTGCCTGAGGATAGTGGACGTATCGGATAGCTGGAATGGTGTCGTCAGGTTCGGCTTCACGAGCAACGATCCGAGCGGACTCCAGTACAATTTGCCGAAGTACGCTTGCCCGGATTTGACGAACAAACCCGGATATTGGGCCAAAGCCCTCTCGGAGAGGATGTGCGAGAGAGACGCAACGTTTTTCTATTATTTGACCGCTGCGGGAGACATCCATTTCGGAATAAACGGCGAAGAAAAAGGAGTGTTCTTCAGCGGTGTCGAAACTCGGGGCCAGTTGTGGGCCATGGTGGACATCTACGGCAACACGACGGCCATCGAACTCCTAGACCCTCGAGAACAATTGAACAATTCGCGACGCCTGGCTGTCGAAGAAGACCCCGCGAGATTTATAGTGCCACAGATGTCGAGCATGAGCATACAGACCTCTCCACAGATAGCTGTCGAAGCTCCGTCCGTCGAACTCACGCCTCCTCCTCTCAGATACAAGAACTCTTCGACCAAGTTCAGCCCTCTACCTTTTCACGGGACCCGCGTTTGAGCAATGATAGGAGTATAACGAGCCGGTACGAGACGGAATTCGCACAAGGGTACGTCTTCACGGCGAGGCCGATTCAGCTTGGAGAAAAGATCGTTGTGCAGGTTCTCGCGACCGATGACATGTACCTCGGGGCCCTCGCTCTCGGCCTGCCTTCCTGCGACCCGGTACATCTCTCACCGCACGACCTCCCAGACGACGCAGACTCTTACAGGCCACTTCTTTCGTCCTTTCCGTTTCTAGCTCGAAACCGAAAACTCCCCCACCATTCCTCATAGAGCCTCTTCCTTTTCCAATTGTCTCGCATTGAACGATGGGATATTCGAGCAGTAGGGGTTTGGCGAGAATTTGAATGTTCGCCGCCATACCTGAAAACCATAAATTTTGATTTTGATTAACCGTAAGTAACCTAGCGGTTTTAGGCCGTAAAATTACCCCTAACCCTAACCTTCACCTGAATTTATAATAATTAACCTAATCTAAGCCCTCCATCAGAATAACAATAACCCAATATCCCCGTTACTAACTCTAACTCTAACTTATAACTATTATAAGACAAAATGATCCTTTTCAACTATTTAACTATTTACCTGAACTATTTAACATAACTGTACCTAACCATTCCTCTACTTAGCATAACCCGCATAAAGTAACAATAGCTCTTCCTAACCTAAATTGTACTTTAAACTAACCATAGCTCTATCTAAGCGAATCCAATCCAATCGTAACAATAATGCTAATCCAATGTCTGCAAGCCTACCTAACCTACCTTAACCGTTATTACCTAGCTGTCCTAGTTCAACTCAAATTCTAGCACAGCCTAACCTTAAATAACATTATGTAAGCCGTCCATAAGGCTAACTATGACCCATTCTAACGCGTAGTCGCTAACACTCACCCTAACCCTATGTAATCTCACTTAACTTACCCATCCCCAATCTTAATTCTTACTAACCTAACCCTACTCTTCCCTAACCTTGTGTAATCTTACGTACCTAAAACGTCCCTACCTCCATCTAACCTAATCTCCACCTTTCACTAACTTAACCTTACTTACCCTTCTCTAATAACCTAATTTTATCTGACCATTTCTAACCTAACAACCAAACCAATGCGCACTTTATTTTTACACAAAATCTATTACGATTGCCATGCAAAACTATGTGTATCAATTCCAACATCAGATCCACCTTGAAAACATTAAACTTATTGCTCGGCATACCGATCGATGATTCATGGTTTACTGAAGAGGACGTAGATTAAAAATCATTATCACAAATAAAATCATGTTTAACACATATTTTTACAGGTTTATTTTTTTTTTTAATTGTCTACTGGTGTTACTAATGTCTACTAAAAATACCTAAAGTATCGCCTTTTTCGGCAACCTATTTCATATAAACTATTATTTCAATATTTATTTTTACTTGATTTTCTTTTCTTGAAAAAATAACTCCGCAGACAGGATAAAGTTCAAGGTATAGAACATTTAGTAATTTTTGTACTATCGTGTTTTAACTTACTTGAAAAAATAAAGTGTTTTTTTTAACGAGGGTTCGCAACAGCAGAGGTCATATAAACCCTCAGGGTGCCGATGTTTTTGAAAAAAAGCCCATTTGTAAGTACGTCGGGTTCGAATGCAGGGCCGCTGGATTCGAACCCGGGACCTTCACCTTACAGTGATGAGCGCCGTGTCAACGCCTAAACCGTTGCGACCACCGACGCCCCTAAATAAAGTTATTCTAGTCTATTCTAAGGTTATTTCAAATTTTTATTATATTGATAAATAATACCTTGGACATAGTCTACCTCTAACCTAGAGGTTTTGGTATATTTATGTAAAATAAGTAGATAATATGAAATCAATGAAATTTTTGAAAGATAAAAAAGTGGTCCAAATAAGAAATTTTTAGTATCAACAATATCTTATATCTACAATTTACAAAAATCTAAAATCTAGTAGATCATTGGCTTTTCATCGTCAAAAATGCTCAAAGTTCCTCGCCGGTCACGTTCCACCTTTACCGTGTTCTCTTGATCGGGCTCTGACGATAGAGGATAAAAGATAAGTACGGAATAGTGCAGATGGAATCTCATAAAGATAGGATCAAATCCAGTTTTTTTACAAGATATTATTCTCCAAGAAGCATTATTTAAGATTGTAATGGAAATGACATGCTTACATAAATAACATATAAAATGAGTCGATTAAGAACATTTTTGGTACGTAAAAATTTGATGTATAATAATAATAGAATGAAAACAATGGAATTGTCTTGATTTTACATAAAATACTGGAATTTTAATTTGTTTATAAATATAAAAATATTTACAGTAAATTAAACTAAAAATACCGACGGAAAATGAGCCGGGTATAGACTAGGAAATGTTGTTATGCTTGGTTTGTCTGTACATATTCATAGCACATTTTACTGCCTCCCCTCTAAACATCGTCAGTGGGGATCGCCCGCCTCCTTCACAGCGACATACGATCAGCCATCCGGGTGCAATGTGAAACCGGCATTAAAATTTACATTTCTCAAAGCAACTTGGAAATTTACATGGTATTTCATTACTCGTTTATACAGATGTCTCTATTCCCGTGCTATTACGGACCTACTTAGGCACCTTTCACGCTTTCAGTCCTTGGGCGAAAATTCAATGGTGTTTAAAGGGACAAATTGGAGCTGATCACTCATTTGTACCAATCAAACGGGCCTACTCTTTGACTTTGATGGCACTAATTGCTTTATGACTCTCTAAATCGATTAATAGGCTAAAAAATTGAATATGCTTTAAAATTGTAGAATGCCTTTTAAAAAAAATTAACAATACCTAGAGTATTCTACTCCTCATGGATAAAGGAAACACACTGAGAACAACATTAACAACAACATATTACTTAGACTCTGAATGGATAGAGAAAAAATGTTGAGAAAAAGTAAAAGAGAGAGAGAGTGAGAGAAAGAGTGAGAGAGAGTGAGTGAGAGAGAGAGAGAAGGAGGAGAGAGAGAGGGAGAGAGAGAGAGGGGGGAGGGAGGGAGGGAGAGAGAGTGAGAGAGAGAGAAAGAGAGAGAGAGAAAGAGAGAGAGAGAGTGAGAGAGAGAGAAAGAGAGAGAGAGTGAGTGAGTGAGTGAGTGAGTGAGTAGGGAGTAGTGAGTGAGTGAGAGAGAGAGAGAGAGAGAGAGAGAGAGAGAGAGAGAGAGAGAGAGAGAGAGAGAGGGATTAAACGTTTTATTTAACCTCGCAAATTTAGGTCTCATGGACCTTTTTCTACTTAACGTGAGTTGTACATTTTACATTATACATACAAAAAATATATACACATATTTTTGCATTGTATAAATTTTCTTTTTTCCACATCCTAAATGTATTTGTTAAATTTAAACAATGTTTGTAAATCCCAGGCCCTGAAGATAATCTCAAAAAAGATCGAAACGTTGGCACGATAAAGAAAATGTTTTTCTGAAACATACATCACACCAGACCGCATCTCACGATTTCCGAATAATCATCGACTAACGATCACTAATCACCACATTTTATAAATACAATATATGTAGATTGTTTTGGTCTTTACAATTTATTTTACAAATAGAATACATGAAAAAAAGTTTTACACACTTTTACTAAACATTTCACAATACAACAATTTTTGATTTATCAATTTATAAGACAATATGTATTTATCTTTGTACGCAATCAATGAATAACAATAAAAAGATACAAGAAAACATAAACAATAAAAGCTTTAACAAGAATTTTTCATTGTTAGGCATGACTTTAAATTAATTAACGAATTATTTTTTAAATTTTCGTTATTATTATAATTATTCGGAGAATGAAAAAACGCATAATATAAATCATGATGTTAATTAATTTATGATTCCATGATTTTATGATGGCTTTAATTATTTTCCATCCGATGTTTTAGATAGTTTTTTTTTTGAAAGTACAAAACTGCTCTCAGAGGAAATACTATTTGGAACATTATTAAACTACTTTATGCTGGTAATAAGAAAGAGTTGGGGTATGTTTTAGTTCTATGAATTGTAATTTTGAAAATATTGTGACAGAGAAAGAGAGGGAGAGAGAGAATGAATTAATATGTTGTTGTTTTATAATCTCGCAAATTTAAGGAACGACCTCTCCTACAATTTATAAGAAAAAAATGAGAGAGAGAGAGAGAGAGAGAGAGAGAGAGAGAGAGAGAGAGAGACAACGTTTACAACAACAGAAATACAGATACGAAATCATCTTTCGAAACCCAAACTAAATTCAACACCCACGAAATAAACCTACTACATAAAATACAAAAACAAAAATAAAACTAAGCAATCCAGACTATAATACAACAGAAATGGACTTAGGAATTGCCATCTGATTTTTGCCCAGGAATATGCAAGAACAAACAAGATCCTCCAAACATACCCGATAAAACAATCCCACAACTACCTCCAGTGCATACATACATAAGTCATGGGGGATGATGATGATAGGATACTCTGAGATACAAGGAGGTTCAGTATTCCTTTTGTAGCATTTTGGTTTATTGTACTTTTTCTAGTTTATTAATTCATTGAAATTTATTGATACTTCGTTAAGAAGTAAGTGAATCCGTTGCTTAGCATTCGAAGATAATTATGAGTGATAGTCTCTGCCTCATCGTTGTTACACTGTTTTTTAAAATGGACTCTGGTTGAAGGAAATATTTGACGAAAGGAAAAACTGATTTTCTTGTCAAGTATATGACCTTAATTATGAGCATCTACATTTCAGCTTTATATTTATGATGATGTGCCATGGAGCAATACAATATTTGAAGGTTGGATTATTCTGTTGTACATAAAATGTCTTTTGTTTTATGGGATTTAAATTTTCAGATCGTTTGATGAAAATAATTTTGATGAACGGAAATTAACTTTCGCGGTTCTCATAATTTCTACAGGGATTACATTTAATCAGATTTAAGCGGCCTATTTCGGAAACTGAGTTTAGAAAATAGGAAAAGATAAAAGTCGATAGGGTAGCATATGGATGTGCTCAATGTGCGGCAAGTGTCTATTGGTCGGTAACAAGGCGGCAAGGGCAAAAAACTAAACGAGTTCCCCGGCGATATAATCTTGGACAGATGCCACACACTCGAACTACGTACTATTAAGGTAGTAATGAGGTTCACAACAAAGGGTCGACCACCAGCGTGCAGACACCTTCGACCCAATTATCTGACTTCAATCTTAATGACAACGCCCCACCAACGCTCTGGAGACAAACAGCC